GTACAGCCGCGCGCAAGTCTCGGCAGGTATGCGGTCCCCCCCACACACACCAGCGCCTCCCGGCCCACAGCTCGTGCGCGCCACCTGCTGGCCAGGGAGTACCTCCGGGCCCTCCAGAGACCGGCTCTGCAGGCTGACCTGTGGTCGCAGACAACCTACATATTGCCACCTTCTGTTTGAAAGTACTTTCCTAAAAACTAAGAATTAAGATGTGTTATGTACATGTATCAACACCCCACCATGAATGTAATCACTATGTACTACAAACATGTACTAATAAAAATAAACTTTAGAAATTAAGTTTCCGGTCAAGGTTGATCACTTGGGAGGCCCTGAAAAAGGCGCCCTGAAAACAAACTGATCCAAACAAGAACCTGGCCTGGGTCTCTAAAGAACGCTTTTGAGACTTTGAAAGAGTGACCATGAGATTTGTCCCTTGTTTTTTCGTTGAACCAGACTTGATTTTTCCATCGAAGTACATGAAGTAGAGAGAAAAGCAGCCTATCTGTAAACTTTGTTTGATGGAAACAATCTCCCCATTCCCTACCAAAAAACAACAACAACAACAACAAAAAAAAAAAAACCCAGACAGGTGTTGGGTAAAATGCTACTTTCACAAGAGATGTTGGGAACCATCTAATGTCAGGGGAAAGGCCCATCTGGGCTACAAAAGGCACCTTTCATTTCCGGGTTAAAAAGAAAACTGGGTCTCAAATAGGCTTTCTATGAATTCCCTGTGATGTCTTAACACTCATTTAGTGGAAACAGAAGAAGACATGATTATATTAGTGACCTGCATACTGTAGCATGTTTTTATCAATATACTTTAAAAATGAATTCAAAGGACCGGGGATTTAGCTCAGTGGTTCTGGTGCCTGCCTCGCAAGCACAAATCCCAAGTTCAATCCCCAGTACCCAAAACAAAAATGGATTTAAATACCTAGACAGAATTTTGAGCCTCCAAACGGATATGTCACCAATGAGAGTTACCAGCTCCATTCCCCTGCAAAATGTTGTTATGGCACTAAAATTAGGGCACTGTCATCACTACCCTCATTATCCTTATCTGATGTTTTAAGATGAAATCCCTTGTTATCATAGCTGCCCTCCTCTGTGTACCCTGTCAGCATGTCTCAATTTCACAGCCAGAATGATTAAGGCCCTGAAGACGCCCAGTAGTTGCCTCTGGCCTCCCTCACCCCACCTCATCAGATGTCCCAGACACCTCTAGCACTGAGCCCCTGAATCAGGCACTGACACTGCCGTACCCTTCCCCTCCCTCCCACTTGTTCCCCAGTCAAGGTGCATTCCATGTTGTGAAGCCAGAAGATATTTGGGGTGCTCCTTCCAAGCCTACTTATCAGGAGTCACCTCAGGTGTGCCTTCCACACTTCCCATCCTCTTTATATAACTAGGAACTAAGTCTCCAGGTTTCACTTCTTCATCAGACCTGCCCCCACCCGGTCCCCTAGGCTGCCTTAGCATCCTTTAATCTAGAATCTGTGCCACAGATCACTGGGAGGTAGAGCTATGATTCTCCCCTGCACCCTTACCCAGGGTAGGCACCTAGCTCTTCCTAGAAGCATGAACCAATTCAACTGTATGGACTAGCACTCACTTTGCCAAGAACTATGCCAGGCACTTTCGTGTGCAAGGCCCTATTTATATCCTGATTTGCCCAGATCAGCTGACTCAGCTCATCATTCCCCCCGCCCACCCCAACTGGTAAATCAGGGGCCCAAGGTGAGAGAGAGGCAAAGGCCCTGAGAGGGGTGCCAGTCCGGGCTGTTCCTAGCAGAGTTCAGACTACAACATGGAGGTCTAGGTTTACAACTGTGAGTGCGCGAGGCGCTCTGCGACCGGCGGGGGGCGCTAGAGGGAGAGTTCGGACCTTGCCACCCCTATCTCACAGTCCTGCTGTTTTGGGAACAATATCAGTAGGGCTTAGATGGCCGGTGGGAGGCAGAGGTGAGGTTGCCTGAAGCTTCTATAAGTAAAATGGTTTCCCAAGAGCAGTTTTGGCAGCCCTGGAAAGCTTGTTAGAAATGCAGGGTCTTGGTGCCCCAATTCAGACCTCTTGAATCAGAATCTACATTTTAACAACTATTTGCAGAAAAGGCACGATTTTATTATAAGTATGTGTTTGTCTGAGATAGTTTAAGGAGGTTAAGAAGAAAACGTACATGTGTGGCGGCAGCTACTACTCCCTAAATTGTTCTTCTGGATCATCATGGTACCTTCCATGATAACAAAAAGTTGGCAAGGATTGGAGGTGGCAGCAGGAGAAGAGAAGAGAAGACAAAATCCTGCTGATGCCGAGAGCTGTTGAATGTTGGGAGGGGTATAGAAAATGCTCTGGGGCTTCCTTATTATAGCTTCTTTAATTTACACTGGGAAGATTTCGCTTCCATGCCTGTGTCTACCAATGGTTAAAACCCCTCATGCCAGCAAATCTGGTGCTGCTTAAATGTCACCCACCTATGGTCAAGTCAAAGGACATCTCTCCCACTCTAAAGAGCAGGAGCCCTTTTAAAACCCTTTTTACCCCACTCCTGTTCCTGACACCCCTTGCTCAGCTGAAGAGCATCTTTGGAAGTTTACTCCAGGATGGGGCTGTGGACAGATCTGAGGAGTTGGCAGCCTCCGAGCCCTTGTGGAAAGGAAGGGCCCATCGGAACAGCCCCTGCAGGACGACACTGGACAGGGAGCCCAGCATGCCCCAGGAGCATCAGGAAACCAGTAAGTGGTTCCAGCAGCCGGCAGGGAAGGGCACAGCAGAGCTGGTCATCAAGGAAGAGGGAGGCTGAGGCCTATTAGGGCGTAAGAGCACCACAACAGAAAGCACCTGTCCAGACTTTGCTTCACTACAGTGAGCAAAGGGGCAGTAGGCACCGCGTCATCATGCAGCTTGTGTGAGCCATGGCCTTCCCAACTGTGTATCCCGGGGGCCCCAAGTCAAAGACTTCAGAGAACCCAGACTTCCTTCCACGGAAGCCCTGCCTTTCCCAGAGGATCCCACCATGGGCTGTACAATCACCCCTAGTGAAACATTAAAAACAGAGGGACTTTATCAAAAAAAAACAAACAAATTCAAACTTCCTTTGGCAGAAGGAAACCAGCAGGGAACAGCTTTGAAAGCAAGTGGAGTGGCCTCTACTCAGAGATCACTGTGTGGCCTTCAGCCTGTTTGCTTTCCAGATTTTAAAAACATTTTATGCATGTATTTAAAATGTGTGTACTCGCATAATTAAGATCATTGGCATTCTGATTAGTCCACATTTTACACCCTACAAGGCACTGGAGACCAGCTTGGATTTCCCCCCTAATTTCATCATCATCTCACCCAGCTCCTTCCTTCACCAACATGCCTGAGTTACTTTCTTTCCCTGCCAGCCAGGCAGACAGATGGGAGAGGCAGTCATAGCCTTGGTTGTTGGTAGTTCTCTGTCCTTTGATGTGGAAAGGGAACACGGGTGTTTAAACTCGATCTACTCTTGGCATCTTACAAAGTCAAGCAATTGAAAGAAGGAAAATAGGAAAGCAGTGTTTTTGGTATGGACAGGGCCTATTGGCTTCTTTCCCACTTGTCTGCTTCCTTCTTCTGTCACTTTGTTTCTTTTGCAGGCAGTTGATTTCTCTCTTGCATTTCTGTCTTCAATTTCAATTTTCTGAATCTCTCCATCTCAGCTATACTGGGTTTGTCACATAGGCCTGCGGGGAAGCAAGATGGGGTACAGGAGAGTTGTTTTAACTGTTAGAGCTGGCCTTCTACCCTTGTAAAATGAGAGTTAATAACATCTACCCTAGGACTGTTATGACCACTGGACCCACACCTATGGGGCCTGGCCCACAGAAGGCCTTCAAGAGCTGCTGCACAGTACTCCAAGCTTTGTAATAAGCCCGGTCCAGCTGTCACCTTGTGATAGGTCTGGCTTCCATCCCACGCAAGATGACGGGTCTTCCTAGGTGAGCCTCTGCCCTCTAAGGACATCCTGGGCCTTTGTCCGACTTGTCTGAGAATGATCAAGACCTACTGCATACCATAGGCTTTATTGCTTATATATCAGTTAACTCCCAAACCAACCGGATCCAACGCCCTTATTTACAACACACATGTTGGTAACTCCCGTTTGCTATCCTGAAATCAGATTCCTATAAACTATCAAGCAGAAAATGCATTCTCTCTACCCTCTGAAGTTTCTATAATTTATCTATGAATTAAACTGACAGTGGACAGATTAGCAGGAGAGAGACCATATAAATTTAATATGTGCTTATGTACTAGAGCCCCACAAAATGTGGCACTCGAGGCAGCCAGATATTTGAGGTATATACAGCGTCCTGAGCTATAGAAAGGAAGGAGGGCTTGCTTCCCGAAGGGCTGGTGGGTAACTCAGGGTGTGGTCGGGGAGGGAAGAGATGTATGGTGAATACTGGATTTCTTATACAGATAAAAAATCTCTCTGGTAATGAAGTTGCATGGAGAGTCCCTCCAAATAATAGACGTCATCCAGAGACAAAGTCACATTCAGTCTCTCCTCCTGTGACACAGGTAACCTTCCACAGTTTAGATTGCTGGGGGCAGGGGAGAGTACAGGACAACGAATCTCTTGTTGGAGGATGTATCTTTAGGCATATAAGGGAATGTCAGAGAAATGTCCTGTGCTACAAGGGAGAGGGGAAAGAGGAAGGAGTTCAGATGGTCAGAGCGACCTTGGTTCTTCGGTTAAACGCACTCAGGATAAAATCAGAACTGTCACATAATCGCGAATAACCATCATGAATTGGGAGGCCGTGTACACAGCCCAAAGATAGTGTCTCCTTGACTCAACTGCTATTGCAGCAGTTTTGCCTCAGGGGATGAGATTTTTTTAAAACCATAGATCAAAAGTTCACCGGATTCCACACACAATGAGAGACAACTTAACGCAGCTTCCAGTGTGGTAGCTGTGCTCCAGGAAAGGTGTGTGACAAAACCACGGTTCCCAAAACCAAAACACCATTTCCTGCATGTCAGGTGAGGTTGAGATTTGGGTTCATGTCCCTACAGACTGGCTTTTCACCTACGTGAATGTTCTGGCGCAGTGGGAGATGTACTATCTCAGGATAGCTCACTGTGAGGAGCTACATCCCAGCCCTGAACGCCAGAAAAACTGTGCACACCACTATGAACAGGGAAAACATTTTAATTTCTAGGATGCTCCCTAGAGACCCAAGATGCACCACAGAGAACTGCGATTTGGGACTGACAATAGGGGTCTACTCTGTTTTAGTATCCACGGCTGAATATTTGTCAAACCAGAAAGGCGGCCTGTGGCTGCCATCTGGCACTGAATATAGGAATCTCCAAGTAGCTTTTCAAAAGGAGCTTTTCAGGGTTCTCTCACAGACTCGGTGAGGAACCAGGCCTGGGTATCTGCATATTGTACACTCCAGGATAAGAGCTGCTAACTTCTGCCCACTTTCATCTATTTCTATGCTTTGGTCCTGCAGCTTACAGAGATTGAACCTAGAACTCCTGATATTCCAGCCCTCAAAGCCCAGACCCAGAAAATGTAGTGAAACCTGTGATTTCTTGCATTGGCTTAGAGATACATGTACTGTGTACCATTTACCCCCTCTGGGCCTCAATTTCCTCATCTCAACATCAGATAGCAAAAAGAAACTGCTCTCCACCTCTGCCAGTCTAGGATTCCCCATGCGTACTTGGCCACATCCCAGAACTCTGGTAGCTCCACCTGTCTGGCTCCAGGTTCCTAGGAAGGGCCACCCATCACGGGGTTATTTGGTTGTGGAGGGTGACAGTACAGATCCTTTGGTGTAGACAAGCAGTGTCACCAGGATCCCCTGGGAGGCCAGGCCCACTGTCTTAGTTAATTTTCTCATTGCTGAGACAAACTACCCAACACACACCAGGTAAGGAAGGAGAGGTTTATTTAGCTCACAGTTTGTAGAGATTACAGTCCATAATTAGTGGGCTCCAAATCAGGGTGGCTTGGCAGAGGGGCATCACAGAGGAGAAACATTTCATGATGGGCAGAAGGCAGCAAAAGCAAGCAATCAAGGGAGCAACCGCAGCTCTTTCTATCCCTTATATCTTATTCAGACTACTGAGGGTAGGTAACACTTACACCCTTAATCCTAGTGTCCTTGACCCTAGCATTGCATCATGAGTCTATCACATACTCTGAAAAAGGCTCGCCTATGACCACACGATGCTTTGGGGACATCTAAACACAAGCCATAACACCCACTCTCTGCCTTGTTGACACAGATGGGACCTAATGAAGAGGCCCAGTGTAACCTAAGTCCTAGGTAAACAGAGGACCAACAGGTAATGACAAGCCCAGGCCCACAGTTCTCTTTCCCTGGCCCTGTAGAACTGGTCTCTAGGTTGACTTAAGGGAACTGGGCTTGTGAAGTCTGTGCAGAACCTGCATCCCCAGCTCTGAGATCAGGGAGCCAGCAGCATTCACCCCTACCAGGGGATGAAAAAAGCCTTGTATGCCTTTTTAAAAGGAATGAAAGAGGCCAGGGATTTAGCTCAGTGGTACAGCCTCCTGCCTTGCAAGTGCAAGGTCCTGAGTTCAATCTCCAGTACCAAAAAACAAAACAAAACAAAACAAAAAAAACTGAATAAAAGTCATTTTCTCCCATCAGTTTTTAAATTCTAAGAACTGAGTCACTTTCTCTGCTCAGGGTGATTGACCTAGGCAAATCTAGTACCTTGTCCAAATCAAGGACAACCTGAGCTGAGAATGCAGGGCAAGCAGGAGTTAACCAGACAGTGGGTCCAGCTGGACAAACTGCACAGGCCCAGACCAGTGATGGTGACAGGAAGCTCACTGTAGCCAGACAGACATGAGGGAGGGAGGGACAGAGGACCTGGCATGTAACCTGTCAGGGGCAGATGTGCATACCATATCAGGCAAAGGCACATGCCTTCAGATGCCCAGCCAGGTAATGGGACTTTGGTCATTCATACTCTGTTAAATGCTAGCTTGCAACAGCTTGGTCATGAGATGCAACATTCACGTGTTCTAGCAGAAGGAGACAAGCATAGTAAATAAGTAAACTACAGAAATACAGAAGATGCTAAGGACTATGGAAAAGAAGAAAGCAAAGCAAAGTTCAGGGAGTACAGAGGATGGGGCTTGGGAGAGGAGGTCACGGGTACTAACTACTCTTTTAACCAGAACAGTAGGGGAAGCCCAACATCTCAATTTTTAAAGGAAATACAGAAATCCACTCCTTCCCTTTTTGTGCTGGAGATGGATGCAGGGCTTTGTACCTCTTAAGCAAGCACTGTACCACTGAGCTACATCCCAAACTCCTCTCTCAATTTTTTTTCTTTTAACCAGGACCTTTTTTGAACTCAGGACCTTGAGCTTTCAAGGCAGGCAGCGGAACCACTGAGCTAAATCCCTGGCCCTCCTCTCTCACTTTTAAAGTTGTGATGTCTTAGGACCCTGCTAGAATCAGAGATTATACTCATTCTCTTTGCTAGGCTCACTTTTATTCTTTGTGCATATGTGTGTATATGGTATTGGGGACTGAATCAAGGGCCTTGCACATGTAAGGCAAGCACTCTACTGCTCCACTCCATCCCCCGCTTTTTTTTGGCGGGGGACAGGCCTCACACTTGCTGTTTTCCTGACTTAGCCTCCTGGATAGCTGAATTTACAGATGTGTAGTGCCATGCCTGTCTACTTTGGTTCTTTCTATTAAATGATTTCTATACTCCAAGAGACCCAGTGCAAACCTCAGGTATTACCAACAAAGCCTTTTCAGCCTACTGTGGAGCAGGCTTCCTTTTCTGCATATCCCAAGCTGTTCAGAGGTCCTGCTTTCCTGTGGCAGACACAGAGAGATATTCTGAAGCCACCTGCCTGCCCCAACTCTGGTAGGAAGATAGGACATTTGCTTTCAGTGGAAACAGTGTCCTTCCTGGAGGGAGAAAAGCTGCACAGTGCTGCCAGCCACAAGCACCTTCTTTATCTCCTCCCATCACCATGGGCAGATGCAACATGTGGGCCACTCTTTTTTCTTAGTTAACAACAGGACACAGCCAGCCAACACAATTTCTGGACAAAAAAAGCACCAATTTTTGTAGGATCGTGATGTTTCCTTGTTGCAGTCTGCATGGTATGTCTTGTGACTATGATATAACTTGCTGAGTCACTTTGGTTTATTAATTCCATCTTTTTTCCCCTAAAAAAAGAGAAAGAAAAAATCTAGTTGTATGGTGATTGTAAAGACAGCTAAAATGTCATAAAGGAGAATATAACTAAAGAGCTTGCAGAACTTTTATTTTGAACTTTTTAAAAATTGCAATATACTTCATGTACAGACAAGTCCATAAATCAAAGGGTAGATCTAGGTGAACACACAGAGTGAGAGCCTTTGTCAAGCACCACCCAGATCAAGAAACAATACCATCAGTTCATTTATTTTAAATAAATGCAAAAGAAGCAGGTATGACTGATAAGCCTCCTGTCTGAGAGCCCAGGGTCCTATAGAATGCACTATTTTGATCTTCAGCCAAAGAGCTACAAACAGCCACTGAGGTCATTTGCAAAGGACCCTCAGGATCACATTTGTGTTTTAAAATGATCCCACTGCACAGAATGGAGAATGGCTGGGAGAGGATCCAAATAGGAAGACCAGGTGCAAGACTCTGTGTCCATCCAGGCAAAGAAGGAAGGGAGCTGGTTCCTAAACACAATGGCATAAACTCAGAAGGAGAAATTCTAGAAGGTGAGATAGCAGATGAAACTAAGACTCCAAAGGCACAGGGTTCCCTGTGCTGGGCCAGCAGGCTCCTACATATAAACACTGCAGCCAAGAGTTAGTGGAGGAACAGGGAGTTACATGCATAGCTCAGGGCAAACCAACCCATATATAACAAGCTATGCCTTTAATTTTTTTGAAGCAGAATTGGGGTACCTCTCCCTTAACCATCAGGTTCTTCCTGAATGTATGGTTTCTTGCAATATAGAGTAAGAACCATAGTTGAAACCATAACCAATAGGATGATTGTTCATGCTGATGCCATTTCCCTCTACCCTAAGCATTATGGTTGAATGATGTCTCACAACAACTCATGTGTTGAGCCTTTAAACCCCAGTTCCTCAAAATGTGGCCTCATTTGGAAATGAGATCATTGCAGGTACAATCAGTTAAGATCAGGTGGTCCTGGAGGAGGAGGATGGGTCCCTAATGCTACTCCCTACAAGGACTGGTATCCTGGAGCCAGGGATTTAGCTCAGTGGTTCCACCACCTGCCTTGCAATAGCAAGGTCCTGAGTTCGATCCCAGGTACCAAAAAAAAAAAAAAAGGACTACTTGTGTCCTTATAAAAACAAAAAGGAGGGGGCATTTGGACAGACACACACATAGGGAGAAATTCATGAAGAGATCAGGGTGATGGTGTTACAAGGCAAAGAACACTAAGTTGCCACAGTAGGAGAGGGAGACACGGAGTAGGTTTTCATTCACAGTCCTAATGAGGAACTAAGCTTGCCCTCAGTTTGACTTCCGGCCTCTGGAATCGTGATACCATAAACTGCTGCTGCTGCTCACAGCTTTTAGTTCTTTGTCCCAACAACCTAGTTAGCAAACTACTGCACCTAGATGTTCAAACTAGGCTGCTGTTGTTTGATGGTGTCCCCCAAAACCCATGGGTTGAAATTTTGATCCCCAATGCAGCATGTTGGAAGGGGGAACTGGAAAGAGGTGTTTAGGTCACAAAGGCTCTGCCCTCAAGAATGGATTAATAAGGCCACTGTCATCATTTCAGGAGTGGTTCCTGATGAAACGGTCAGTTTGGCCTCCTTCTATTCTCTCTCACCCTCTTTGCCCTTCCACTACAGGATAAGGTAGCAAGAAGATGTTTGCCAGATGCTGGCCTCAGTCTTGGACTTCTCAGCCTCCAGAATCATGAGCCACTAAATTTCTGTTCATCGTTAGTTCCCTAGTGCTACAGCAGTGCAAAACAGACGAAGATGTAGCCCCACATCTCAGCACCCTGGCAAAGGAGATTAGGAAGGGTGGGGTGGCATGGCCACTGCCCGTAGGAAATAGCCTCACATTCCCTCTCAGAGATGGGGAGGCAACTTGAGCCTTGGAGTAGCCACTGCCTACTGGCTTCCTGGTGGACAGGAGGACTGGAGCTAGTCCTTGGGATCTGCTTGAGAGGACTGCTACTTTAGTTATGTGGTGCAAACCAACACCTGCCACATAGGGAATAGATGTTGCAGAAGGAACTGGGAGGAAATCACTCAGACGTATTCCAGATATTCACTCCTACTCTCCACTACCCATTTAATTCAAGCATTTCAAATATTTAAACCATTTTCACTGGCTGTCCACTCAAACATCCAGCTCCACACCCCTGAATAATACATCATCATGGAGCCAATTAAACTCATTTAGTCTGAATATTCTTTTTTGGGAGGTACTGGGGATCAAACTCAGGACCTTGTGCTTGCAAGGCAAGCGTGGTGCCACTGAGCTAAATTCCCAGCCCATTTAGTTGGAATATTCTTAAAAGTCCTCTCAATAGGCAAATCAAACCAGTCCTTTAAAACAAATTGTTTCTAGTTAATAAGCCTACTGCTGACCCTGGAGCCTCCTCTATGCAAGCCTTGCAAAGTTTCTTGCTGGGAACAGAAGGCCCACAGCGGTTGCCCAATATTGACTCCTTGCAACCTCACAACCATAAAACAAATCAACACCTGAAGCCTGTTGGCAGACAATCACAGGACATGCATCAATGGGGTCAGCAAAGTTGCCTGGGCCTCGCCCCGGGCTATGCAGACAACATTTACCTGGCAAGCTTTCCATAAGTAACAACCCATGGCGACAACCATCTACCAGTGGATATGCTGATATACCTATGAATTAGATCCTAGAAGAGAAGGCCTCAAAGCCTGCCAATTGAATGCTGTTCTTGAACACGGCACACAAGTCCCCTTATGATCAGCCCCTGCCTCACTCCATCTTCTCTTCCTCCTCCTCCTCCTTTCCCACCTCACCCTTAGATCTGACACCCTAGCTATTTCAACAATGGCTGTGTAATTTATAACCCAGTCTGAGAATTTCTGAGACTGAGGACATATTAAGTATTCTAGGACAATAAGCAATAAACTGAATTACATGGAAATACTTAGAGCTCTCAAAACTTGTCATGGGCTATCAATAGCCTCAGACTTTTGCATATGCTATATTCTTTTGTCAGATTACCCCACCCATTTCTTGGTCCACTTGAAGCAAATTCTATAGCCTCCTCCTTGGTAGAATCTCACAAGGAACCCAAATGGGCTTGAATCCTCTTTTTCCTGTGTCCCCATTTCCCTAATATTTATCACAGTCCATTTTAATTTCTCTGCTTCCCTGCAAGACCACTAGATAACCACTAGGTCAGGTATTATATTTTTTCACCTTTACATTCTGTACTCTATTCTCTGTTGTAGATGCTCAACAAGGGTATGTGTAATAAATGGTTTGGGGATTATCCAGAAGAAGAGGTACATGTGGGAAGTAACTCTAGATATTTGAAGGGTCTACCTACGAATGTTTGCCCAAACATCTAGCTCAACATAGCACATAAACGAGCACATCTAGCTCACGTAGCACATGGCCCAACATAGTTCATTGTAGTAGCACAGCAGGCTTAGATTTTATTTGTGTGTATATAAAGACCAGAACAAGAATATCTACTGAAAGCTTCCAGAGAGTATCTTTAAACTAGCCAACAGAACTACTCAGAAAATGAACAGGCATCACTGGGCAGTACAGAATCGCTCATCTCTAGCAGTCATTGATTGACAAATGCATTTGGTAAGAATGAGGCAAGGATTCAAGCTTGCAAAGATCAATGGTCTGGATAAATCCCTGAGACTTTGTGATTGACTGATGGACTGACTGCTTAGTTGATTCACTTATCAATTCAGTGCACGTTAGACAGCAGGTACTGTCCCAGGAGCTTGATGAGTTACATCTGTGCAGTCTCCATACATATTAAGGTCCTGCTTGGAGATAAGACCAAAATGACCTGTGGCCTCTTGAAGTTTAGAGGCTTACAGAAGAGATATGTAATACTTGTAAGCATCACTGGGTACTAAGGGAGAGTGTGAGCAGAGGACTGGGGTAGAGGTCAGAGAAACATTTTAAGTTGAAAGGGAAGCATGTAGGAAACTTGCTTATTTTCTGACCTTGGTCTTTCTGAAAGCTCAGGCTCCTTCTCTTTCCTTTGCCTGCTCTTCTAGTTCAGTGACCTTCCTGAGTGCTGGCCTCAACCAGTCTACACCCCTGGACAGCTTTGGGCTGTGAGCCCTGCTCAGGTGACAGGTAACCAGGCAACTGTGATCATCCCAGGGCAGATGGGAAGATGAGCTGTGGGGTCTACAGCTACACCCCTTTCTTCCCTCCCTGCTTCTTTGAAAAGCTAGCAGACTTTACCCATGAGTTATACAGAACTCAGAACAATAAGGGTGCAGGCAGTGCCAAGTAGGTGTAACTCAAGAGCTTGGCAGAGACTCAGCTCTTTGGGAAATCAGCCTTCATCAGAGCACCCAGTGATGCTGGCCACAATCCAGTGCAAAGCAGAACAGACACAGTAGGTGAGTCAGGAGAATGCGGTCACGGGGTTTTCTCCATTGCGCATAAGGGGAATAACATCGAAATGCAGCAGCTGCGGGAGCCCATGTTAAACCACACTGGGCAGGCAGTAAAATATTATTGAACCGGCTTATGATTTGGCTATGCGAATTGTGACATTGTGAATCTGTCCTAGGCCTACGATGAGCCTTCGGCTGGTCACAATTGAGATCTCAATAGTGATGTTGTGGCGTCTCCGATAGGAGGATAACACTGATGCTGAAGACTTAATGACTCTTTGCAGCCATTCTCCCAGAATGAACATTAGCTAAAGAAAACACAGGTTACTCTTTAATCGCAACCTGTCTTTCGCAGCAATGCACGTTCCTCCCTTTTACAAGCCTGGCTCTCGTCGTGTCCGTATCGCCTCCTCCCCCACCCACCCCGCCATATTTGCCTTAATGTCCCCTGCAATGTTGTGTGGTCAGTAAATCCTGGCAGGTCCGGGGCCTCGTGGTCTTAGCCTTGCAGAGCTCTGACAGCCCCAGACCCCTAGTTTAGGCAAACCTTTGTCTTGTATTATCCTTTATCCTCACCATACCTTCAGTCAG